CATCTCGTGCGACCTCAACTGTAAGAGGTCGACGAGGCACAGGGCGACAGGCTGCGCCACCGAGGGGGTAGCAGCCGCGGCAAGGGATTGAAAGTGACTGGTGTCAGGATCCTCGCTGGGGTTCATGTACGATCCCGAGGGCAGCCCCGCGGAAAGAACGCCGAGGTTCCTTGACTCCTGCTCATGGCCAGTGAGGCCAGCAGGAGTCTGGTCCAGAGTGGGGCACGGATCCTGCGAGGTAACTGACGAGACAAATTGCGTGTTGTCTCGCGCAGAGAGCCTAGTAGTGCTAACAAAATGTTGCAAAAGGCTGGAGTCTGAGCTTTCGCTGAAATCGGACTGCGGGTCCCTGGGAGAGACCGCACGGCCAGGGCCGCTGGGGCCCTGCACCTCACTGTCCCGGCCGTCTTGGCCAGGAGGAGGCGGGTCCGAGGGAAGGGAGTTTCCTGTTGAAGGCTCAGACGCGGCGGCAGGCGGCTGATAGTCGTGCGAGTGGAGAGGGGCCTCCCAAAAACGCCACGCTTGTCCAGCCCAGTGTGGATTGGCGAGATGGCCTGGTCGGCCTGCCTGGACACAGATCACGTGCCTTGCACGGAGGTAGGCATCAAGCGCGCCCTGTAGCTCCAGTCCGTGCTGAGTCGGAAAAGCAACCCTCGTGCGCTCAAGACGCTGTAGATAGGCTGAGCGACGAGCTTCTGATAGTTGCCATGCCACGCTGCAGATTATTTCCGCCTGGCTGCGCAATTCACGCCTGCTATTGATACCGTGTGTAGGGTGCAAGAGCGGATGAAAGCGTGGAAGGGTGCGCAAGCATGCTTCTACCCACGGAACACAATCTTCAAGCCACAAGGCCATTGCTTGGTCATCTGACATAAAAATGGCATTGTAGTACCAGGGCTTGAGCTTGTGCGAAAGCCTCTCAGTTAGGAGCTCAGATGCCGAGATTGCTTCAAGCAGGCCTGGAGGGGCATGCTTGGAGGAAGGGGGGGATGAGGTGTCTGCCATCGCTGGGGGTTCCAGTGGCTGAACGTGCCAAAGGTAGGATGCCTTTTCCCTAGCATCCGAGCTATCATTGTGGCGTCTTGACCCCGCGCCGCCAGTGGGAAGATTACTAACAGCATGCAGTTGGTATTGTGCGATTGGCTCAAACCCGGAGTTACTCGCAAGCTTAAAAGTCAGCCGTAGTCGTTCTCCCCCACCCGACCTCCACCCGCCGTCCCCGCAAGTGGCTCGATCATTGGCTCGCACAGACTGGCTGATAGAAGCTGGCTCGTGCCCTCTGCCAGCACTCATAGGCGCAAAATCTGGTAGCGGAGCGGGAGCTGTTGGGTGGGTATACTGCTGGGAGGCGCTGGCATCGGTCGACCGTGGGAGGACCGAAAAATCCATGGCAGGGAGAGAGGATGTATTGAGCACGTCTAGACCCGCGTGCTGATGCAGCATGTGTGAGGACGAGAGAGGCACTGAATAGGGCGGCTCAGATAATTGGCTGGCCTCACCTGTGTCTACTTGAAGCTCAGGATCGTAGAACTGCGTGTGGACGTAACCCTAGGAGATCCCCATGCGCTGTCGGCGAGGCGCTGAGACACATGTGCGGGCTCGCCCGCGGGAGGCGACCGACTCCTCTCTTTGACGCCGTTGCCTTTGCCCTTGAAGCACATCTTGCCATTGTGGTCGATGTAGCTCTGAGGGCCTCGGAGCTGCTCCTGAGTGGGATTGATCTGGGTCGGGGCGAAATGATCGGGCGCAACGTAAGGTGTCTCCTGCGTTGGCGGGAGACCCCACATCTGGGTCGGCCCAGGCGTTCCAGGAACTGGTTTGTCCTCGGGAGCTGTGGCCGCCGTCGGTGGTGTCCCTGGAGCTGCGGTCGCTGGTGTCGCTGAAACTGCTGCTGCAAACGAAGCTGCCGTCCGGCTCCCAGGAGGGGAGGCCGCTGCTGCAGTCATGAACGCCGTAGGAATCGGGATGCCCTGAGCTTTGTACATCTCGTTGATGGCCGCCTGGAGCTGAGCATCTGAGAGGGAAGCCGGCGCCGATGCTGTACTCCCTGCTGCTGGAAACCCCACTGCTGGCGCCGACGCTGGCTCGGCCGCCTGAGGCGTTGGAAAAGGGCCTACTGGTGGTGGCGGAGCTGCAGGCGGGCAGTGGTTCAACATATACTGATGCATGAGCCTCATCTGCGCCTCCATCTGCTGATTGTGCTGATAGATGAGGTCGCGCTGCTGAAGGGCTGCATCGCGCTGCTCTTTGAATGAAGCCACCTCTGATGGTGGCCCTGAGCTCGGGGGAGCTGTGCCCTGAGCTGTGCCAGGTTCCACTACCATGGGATTGGGAATCTCCTGGATGATGTCTGCAATCTCGGCCTTGATCTTGTTGTCGATGTCGATCAAGCTCTGGTTCAGGTCCCCAACTTCTTCCCGAACTTCTTCGGCCTGCGCTTCGAGCATGTTGACCCTGGCTTATGTGTTGTGCAATCGATCCTTCGCCTCGCTGAGCCTGGCCAGTGCTTGTTCTCTCTGCTGCTTTAGTGGTAGTAGATGGTCCTGGCAATAGCGGAGCATGGAGAGCTCCCCCTTGAAGTCTTCGTCGCCTTTGCGGGCCCGCAGCGCTGCCACCGCTGCCTTTGCCAACGTTGTCATGCGAGAGGTGAGCCTGTCTTTGAAGGCCTGCATGTGGCGCATGTCCGTGGGGGCCTGCCACTTGCCCCAGTTGGGGTGGGCCTGAGCAAACTGCTGCGTGGCAGGAACCAGCCTGGTCAGGTAGCGCTCGGCAGCCTTGCGGGTCTCGGACGTCTCCTTGTCCTCGCCACGCTGATGCCGTCCACGCTCTTGAGGGCGATGACGTGACTGATCTGGCGGTGGCCTCCTGGAGTCTGGCCTCGCCTTTGCCTCGATCTGGACCCGCGGCTGGCGAGAGGAGGTGGCCTTGCTTGACTTGCTGGCTGATCGTGGCCGCCGAGACTGACTTTGTGACTTGTTGCGCCTGTCCGCAAAGGCAGCACCGTACGCACAATACCACTGCCAGTGTTGGACACGCTCGTTGCAAGAGCCGCAGGTCCATCCTGGGGTGCCTGTCGCCATCGGTGCGACGCGTGGGGGCTGCTGAGCACTGGGGTGCCCTCGTAGCAGATGCACTGCCCTGTGTACCCGAAGAAGGGTTCGAGCGTCTGCCCGATGGCGGCGCCGTCGTCGGTGCCAAGCAGGTTCTCGCTGCCTGGAGCGGGAACGACTCGATGCAAAGATTGAATCGGGAATCGTAATGTTATGTGTCGTGGTTGGAATTCGAAAGCCAACACACGTGAGGTCAGAGCTCCTGCGGGCGGCCTCCCTAGGCGCCCACTCGAGCCCCAAACCTTCTCCTCCTCCTCCTCCTCCTCCTCCTCCTCCTCCTCCTCCTCCTTCTGCTCCCCTTCCACTGCGGGAGGGGGTCGCAGCACCGCTCAACGATGCAATGTCTATACAAGTGGCGCAGGGTGGGCCCTTTCCGGAATCCGTGCTGCAGTGCGGATCGTAAGCTCGCCTCGTCTGCGCCGTCGGCGCCGTCGTGGTCCTGGTGCGTCTGGCTCTGCTTGGGGCCAGCTTCCCTCACGCAGTGACCACCACCTCCCGCTGCAAATTGTTCCCTGTTCATCCTGGGCCGACGTTGGCAGCCTCGGAGCCCGAGACGGGCCTCCAGGGGCCGAAAGTTGTAAGCAGCCTTGATCCCCGACACCTCGCCGCCTTCCCGACGGGACGCGCGACCCCCCGCGCATCTGCCCCGGCACGTCATTCACTTCCAGGCAACGTGGAGGAGGTTAAGTCGGACTTCGTGTTTGGAACGCGAACCCTGATTAGACTTGATACTTTCTTCTTGCAGAGGCCATCTAGAGAGAGTCTCCTCTCACACCAATTCTGGCCCTACCCCATCTTTACGTCCGCCCCATCGCGACTGGCCCCCGGAAAATGGAGGTGTGCAGTAGGTGCCACGACCTGAAAGGATCGAGGGTGGACAGCAGTTCCGTCTGCCGCCAGGCGCCTGAGTGGGAAGAGGAGGGAGGGAGGGGTCGGCGACGGCAATCTGAGGATCGAGGACAACGGTCGAGGATCGATTCTTTTGGGAAGAAGGGGAAGTATCAGGGCGCGGCCAGGACTGTGATAAATCGTTACAGAGCGTTCCAGGATATTGCTGCACCAGCCGCGGAGCCCAGCGTTGGGGCATGTTGGTGATTGGTATTACTCAGAGCGTGAATTACCTACCCCGCTTTCGCTTCCAGGCAAAACCAAGCCATACCATGCGCCTCCTCGTCAAGCGGCCTGACCAGTACAGGCTGCAATTTGGCATCGTTTGGTATCTCTTGGAAGCGAGGGTGGTCAAAAGCGAGGTAGGTTTGTTTTCCCCCTAATTACCACGAAGGGAAGGTGAGGGTCGAAAGTTCTGTGTTACGATCCTCCTCCTCCTCCTCCTCCTCCTCCGTCGCTTCCGTTAGTCGCTCCTACGGAGGTAGAGAGATCCAGGGGCAGGCGTCGTTGGCGTTCTTGAAGGTGCGAGGAAGGAATGAGAGAGCTCCCCCCTTCTCGCTCTGCCTCCCCCTCCTCTTACTCCTCCTCCTCCTCCTGCTCCTCCTCCTCCTGCTCCTCCTCCTCCTGCTCCTCCTCCTCCTCCTCCTTCTCCTGCCTCCTCCTTTTCCCCCTCCCTTTCCTCCTCCTCCTCCTCCTCCTCCTCCTCCTCCTCCCTCCTCCTCCTCCTCCTCTTCCTCTTCCTCCCTCTCCTCATCAGGGCCTTCGGGAGAGGGGGTGTCGTCGACACGACCAGGCGCGGCTGGGAACAACGGGCCAGCATGGTGCTTGGCAGGAGGAAGGTGGTCATTATTGTGTGGATTCTGACTGCGAAGAGGAAGGGGGGAGGCAGGTCGGCATGAAGCGAACGGGTCCTGAGGGAAATCTATCCTGCGCTGTTTCACAGGCGTTCTGGGCTCTCCTCGGGCTTTGGCTCCCGTCTTTTCCCTCAATGCGCCGTTCAAGGAGTTCAACTCTGAGCCCCTCGGCACCGCATCCATCGCTCAAGTCCACCGCGCAGTGCTGAACGATGGGCGGAAGGTGTGCGGTTCTTCTGCTGGCATATTCCATGAACAACTTACGCCATTCCGCCGAGCCCCAGAATAGGAGATATGCCTGCAGAGTTCGATCGATTGTTTTTGTAGGATGCGTTTGGGATTATCTGGCAGCCCTCTTGGGTCTTTCCTGGGGCAACTTGGGATGCCGTTGGGGCTCTCTTGAGCTTTCTTGGAGGCCGGGGGGGGCATGGACCAAAAAGAGGGGGACCTCGATGAACGTCCCCCCGCCCGAGCACGCGAAAACGCCTCTGGGGGGCCTTGTTGCGGCGTTACTGGGGTGCTCTTGGGGGCATTGGGGTGGTCTTCGGATCTTTGGAGGCCTTTCTTGTCTTGGGCGATCTTGGGGGTTGCCTGGGGGCATCGGACGGCCATCTCTAGCGAAAAGGAAGCGCATCGCGGATCATTGGATTTTTTTTGGTTGGGCAATTATCTGAACCTCTCGTGGGCATTTTTGGGAGACACCGTTGCAGCTGGGAGTTCCCTTGGCTCCGTCTGGAAGCTTCTGAGAGTCGTAGGCGGACCGTCAACCATCTCACACGCCTTCTCACTCCAAGCACGCGGGGCTCTGTGGATTCCCGTTTTATTATTCTCCTGGTTATGATGAACATTCGTGTTCTTATTGTTCACGCACGGACGTTGCCTTTTGTGTTGCCTTTTGTATGGCGCAGGGTTAGTAACTTATCATTGCACAACTAATTGTCGTGGCCTCCCACATCCTGTTTGCCATGTCCCACGTCGTCGCTCTCCACATTTGTTTTGCACTATCGCTACTTCTGCCCTGGGCCCAGCTCACCCGCGTCATATTTGATCATCTCTCTTTCAACATATTCGCTGTTCCTACCGTTTCCTCAATCGTCCGTTTCCTTCCCTCCTGCCGCGCATCCCTCTTTCCTCAGCATCCTCTGCCCCCGCGCACGAGGCATCTGCCAGTAAGGTCCTGGGTCCCAAGTTTGAACTCATCTTGAGGAGCACGTCGAGACTTGAGAAGAGACAGAACACTGTGCCACCTCAATCTAGTGGCCTTCGGCCCTTCCCGCCACCGAGCCTGGGTCGTGGACCAGAGGCCTCTTGATTGTCACAAGGGTTCCTTGGGGTGCCTCTTCGAGGTCTCTTAGAAAGCTCTTGGGGGCCTCTTGCTTAGGGGCCTCTGGTAGGCTTCTCGGGTGCCTGCTGGCGGTCTCGAGGGTCATCTCGTGGCTGAGGGCTTGAAATGTCAGTTCGTGTGCTCTCCCTCTCTCTGGGCCCCTCGCTGGGCCCTCTTGGTGGCCTCTTGGGCCCCTCTTGGGCCATCTTGGAGCTGCCTTCTGGGCTGCCCGGGGCGATCTGGGAGAAAAGCCATGATGTGTGCCTCTTGGGGCCCTCGTGGGCGTCATATTGGAGCCGTCGTGGGGGCCTCTTGGGCAGTCTTGGGATTATCTTGCCGAAAGAGGGTTCATCTGGCCCGAGTGCCCGAGTATGCTCTAAAGGGTGCAGGGGGAGCGCATTCTGACCCAGCGCCCCCCTCGACCCCCCCCCCCCGTGGCGGGGAAAGGATTGAAGGGAGGGGGCTTACCTCCGACTCGATTACGCACGGCCTGTATCGATACAGCGGGTTGGCGAGTTCTGGGAGCCAGAGGTGGCCGCAGGGAGGGGGGAAACACATTTCGACTCCACAGGGCCTTCCCGGACCACCCCGGGGCAACCAGCCCATACCTCCCCCTCTCACACGCCGATCGGATCGGCGGATTTCCTGTTGTCCTCTCTTCCGCGCATGCTTGCACCACCGCAGCTGGACTTGGCTTGAGCAACCACGAGCTCACACCCCGCGGCATGAATTTTCGTCGTGATCCCAGTGGATTGGCTTTTCGTCCCAGGTCGGGCCCCAGGACCATCAACAAACATGGCGGGCCAAAGAGAATTGTCGACCTGAGGATCGGGAGGAAGGGGCCGAGTGAGTTCCAATGTGCCCACGCCACGCAGAGGTCGAGCCGTCGGAGGTCTGAGTCTCGACCTGGGCGGATGTCTGGCGGAACTCGAGGAAGGGAAAGGCAGACCCCGCATGAGGACGTTAACGCGGGTGTCCCCAGGGGTCCTAGAGCCAGCCACGTCGATTGAATACAAAAGTGTGCATCCCCGTTCTCCTCCCCTCCCTCTCCTCCCATCTTCTGTCCTTCATCTTCCCTCATCCTCCTCCCGCGTCCTCTTCCTCCTTCTCCTCCTCCTCCTCCTCCTGATCATCTCCTGTCCTCCGCCTCTCCCTCCCCTCCACTGCCTTCCCCTCCCCTCCTCTCCCCTCCCCTACCCGTCCCTCCTCCTCCTCCTCCTCCTGCTTTTCTTTCTCCTCCATTTTTTTTCCTTATGGAGAACTCCTCCCCGTCGCAACCCGAGGCCAGTCGAAAGGGCGGACCACCCGTTTCGCTTGAGACTTCCACACCATTTATGATTTTGATGCATAGAGGTTGGGAACCGTTTCACACATGGAGGGCGGGTGGTTTTTAACATTCGTTTCAATCATTTGCAAGAGTTTCACGGATTGAGGGCGAGCCGGTTTCGAAAGGTGGTTTTCGCCTTAGTGCCAGGCCCTTATTCGTTTTAATCGTTTGCATGTTTTTCACGGGTTGACGGCTGGTCGTTTTCGAAATGTGGTTTTCGCCTTAGTGCCGTGCACATTCGTTATTCAAATTGCAAGATCTTCATTTATTGAGGGCGGCTGGTTTTCAAAATGTGGTTCTCGCCTTCGCGCTGCGCACATTTGTTTTAGAAGAGTTACAAGAGCTTCACGGACTGAGGGCGGCTGGTGTTCGAACTGTGGCTCTCGCTTTGGCACCGAGCGCATTCGTTCCATACCTTGGCAAGGGCTTCACACATGGAGGGCGGGTGGTTTTCAAAATATGGTTCTCGCCCTAGTTCCGCGCACATACGTTTCAAACATTGGAAAGAGTTTCACGGATTGACGGTTGGTAGTTTTCGAAAGGTGGTTTTCGCCTGAGCCCCGCGCACATTCATTGTGATGATTTGAGGCACGCTTGACGGGGGGTACCCGCGGGGGGTCCCGACAGAGCGGACCGAGGGTAGTGCAGGCCAGAGTGAGTGGGAGCCTCAGTAGGCATCGTGACTCAAGCACCGAGTTGAGCTCGACGCAGGGTGTCAGCCCTGTGCCCGCGCTGCCCCCCATGCCAGGACCGTGGATTTCGGCTGCGCACGACCGATGGTACGCCTGGGGTTTGCGCCTGAAGGAGGGCAGCTTCGTCGAGGCTCGCTGCTACGACGACGATGGCGGGCACCAGGGCGCGGCCATCCTGCGCCTGGAGGGCGACGGGAAGGTCGGCGACACGGTGCGCGCGCGGTGCGCTGCCGCGAGCGACGACTATTACGCCCAATTGGTGGCTCAGCAGGAGGTGGTGGGCCAGTACCACTTCTGCCGCGGCCGCCAGGCGCGTTGCCAGGTGACCGACGTCGCCGCCCACATCGAGACGTTCCGGGAGGTGACGGCCGCGGACTCCGGGAAGGGTGGCATCAAGTTGGTCAAGGGCTCCGCCGCGAGGGCCGTCGAGAAACTCCTCGAGGGGCAGGGGCGCGGCTGAGGGGTTCTGCCAGCGGACCTTCCGCCTCGGGGCCTTCCGACACCGGAGCGGCGCCCCAGGGGCGGGTCTTCGCGGGGTCGCAGAAGGCGCGCACGCTCGCGCACCCCGATCCCCCGGGGCCGCCGTGCAGGCGAGGGGCGAGCCAGCAGGGGCGACAGACAGTCGCGGCGAGGACGCCGGGACCCGTTCGAGCCATATTTGTTCGCGGAGATCGCCGGGAGGCAGCCCCATCGCGGTCCCTGCGCGAGGACAAAGGAGCAGCCGGCCGCGGGGCAGATTCTGGAGGGGCCGCGGGCTCGGCCGCAAGAGCCCAAGGAGCCGCCTTGGAGGCGACAGGAGAGCCCAGAGGATGGCGACGCAGGCAGGAGGAGCCGGGAATGCAGCACGAGGAGGAGGAGGAGGAGGAGGAGGAGGAGGAGGAGGAGGAGGAGGAGGAGAAGGTTTGGGCTCGAGTGGGCGCCTAGGGAGGCCGCCCGCAGGAGCTCTGACCTCACGTGTGTTGGCTTTCGCACGCCAGCCACGGCACATAACATTACAATTCCCGATTCAGACTGTGCATCGAGTCGTTCCCGCTCCAGGCAGCGCGAACCTGCTTGGCACCGACGACGGCGCCGCCGTCGGGCAGACGCCCGAACCCTTCTTCGGGTACACCAGGCAGTGCATCTTCTGCGAGGGCACCACAGCGCTCAACAGCCTCCACGCGCCGCACCCCAGGATGGCCCTGCAGATGCGGACTCCGCCAACCAGGATGGCAATGGGCGTGTTCGTCATGTGGATCCTCATTCGAGCAGCGACGGAGACCGAGCAGAAGCGCTTCTCGCCACAAAGGGCACTGGGTGGCCAACAACCCCGCCCCCAAGCAGCGGCCAGGCCGAGACCGCCCCCAGCAGGATCGGAAGCCCGACCGAGACGGCCTGGACAAAGCAGTTCGCAAGCTCATCGAGCGAGTGGTCCCTGTCCTGAAGCACACTGCCGAGTCGCACGAGGATTGGAGCAAGTGGGCGCCTCCAGCAGACCATCACATGCACAACCAGTTCCGCGACCGTGTGAATACTCGCCTGATGGTGCTTGTTCGCCTGGCAGTACAGGCCGCCAGAGCAAGGAAGTCGGACGAGGAGCTGAAGGAGGAGATGGGCATGCTTCTCTACTCTCTGGACCAGATCAAGCCCCTGAGCGAAGTGAAAGCCGAACATGTGGCACGTCTGACGGCAAAGCTGGAGGACTTGAAGAACACCAGATGCCGCATCGCCACGCTGGAGACCCAAGTTCAGGAGCTCGAGGACGACATTGCCGACACCAAGACAGCCCTGGTGGAGGTCGAGTCCAAAATCGCAGTCGAGCTCAAGGACATCCTTCCAGGCGCGGAGGCGATGGGCTCAGGCATGGACGCCTTGGGAGCAGTCTCGAGGAACACAGCGGC